AGCTCATCAACAATAATAACAAACATTAAAATACATATATAAATACATACACAACTATATATGTCCTATCAATTATAAGGAGTGAAATACAGATGCATAGACACCAGAGGAATTAAGAGCATGAACATTCCTACAATAAGTGCTGTTCAAAAAACGTGTAGGCTTAGTTTTAATTGCTCTAAGGCGTCTGCCTGAAGGAAGAGGCGTAAAGAGGTGTCTGGCTGGATGTAAGGGATCTTTCAGGATTGTTAAAGATTAAGATCGATCTGAAAGACTCTCCTGAGAACAACTTTCATGAGAAAACTATAATAGACGAGTATGGGTTTATCTTGATGTTCTTTGAGTCGTGCCCCATCCCAGCTAACAAAAATACGTTCTAAGAATGTTTTTATAACATTTCTATTAAGTTATTTACATTTAAAATATCCAGTTTTAAAAAAGCTTTTTTGTTTGTTTATGCGAATGTTATATTGAAAACATTAAGGGAACGTTCCATTTAATCATTTTGAAAAGTAACATTTGAATGTTCTCTCCCAGATAACAGGGAACATTCTCAGAACTCTGACTAAAATTCGGCAAGGTTCTTTCAAACATTTGTCTAGTAATGTTATAGAATGTTCGTTCAAAGTTATCTTTGATAACATTCTCAAAACATTAGCACATTAGTTCATGGAACGTTTTCTGAAACATTTTAGTTGGACGTTCATCTAATTTTGTTTAAATGTTAATGCTTACTAGTTTCAGACGGTTCAGAGAACATTCAAAAGTAATTTTGCAAAATGATAAAATAAAATGTTCACTTCATTTTTTCTCATAACCAAGAAAAAAACTTTTTTTAATAAAAAAACTAGATGTTTTGAACATTCAGAAATAATGTTGTCATAACTTAACAGGAACGTTAGAAAAACATTCTTTGAGCATTTGTTTTTAAACGTTAGATGAATGTCCAACTAACTTTTTTCAAATGTTCACATAAAAAAATATTTACATTTAAAAAACTCGACGTTTTGAATGTTCTTGAATGTTTAACATTCAGAAATGATCTTTTCATAACTTAACAGGAACATTAGCAAATCATTCTTGGAATATATATATTTTTTTTAACTAAACAGTTTCAGAAAAAAGTAATTTTGCAAAATGATCAAATAAAATGTTCACTTCATTTTTTCTCATAACCAAGAAAAAATCTTTTTTTAATCAAAAAACTAGATGTTTTGAACATTCAGAAATAATGTTGTCATAACTTAACAGGAACGTTAGAAAAACATTCTTTGAGCATTTGTTTTTAAACGTTAGATGAATGTTTTTTCAAATGTTTTGTCAAATGTTCACATAAAAAAAATTTACATTTAAAAAACTCGACGTTTTGAATGTTCTTGAATGTTTAACATTCAGAAATAATGTTTTCATAACTTAACAGGAACATTAGCAAATCATTCTTGCAACATTTTTTTTTTTTTTAAACTAAACAGTTTCAGAAAAAATGTTCCATGATCGATGGATAAATAATGTTTTTAACCAATGGACGTTCTATTAAAGTTACTGGAAGATACCTTTGAAAGAACCTTGCCAGAATGTTCTGAGAACGTTCCCTGTTAGCTGGGAGAGAACATTCAAATATAACTTTTCAAAATGATAAAATGGAACATTCCCCTTTTAGTTGCACGTTTGTCTAACGTTTTTGAAATGTTGAAGGTTTTTTAAACTTGTTTCAGAATGTTCAAAAGTAACATTTGTTAGAAGAACGTTTGTTTAAATTTGAAAGAAGGTTCCCTGTTAGCTGGGATATTGTTGGTGTTTGGTGCCATTAGTACTGCTTGATTAACTAATGTTATTAGAGACCTGGCCTTGGCTTTATAAAATAGATCATCTTTGCATCCCCGATGGTCATTTTCACTTTGTATTGACATTGCTGTATATGTGAACGTCCCTTGAACTCGTCCATCGAGATTTAGTTGCATAACAAGGTGTATTTTCTCTTTATCCCTCCATATCTCCACTCTCAGATGTTTCAGCAGAGAGAAGCTCTCTTTGGGTTTTAGTCTCTTTTGGCTTGGGTTCATATGGAGTTTTTCTCTCTTCAGCGCTGTAAACAGTTTACTCATCCAGACACTTCTCACTCAGAACTGCAGACAGAAGGCCGATCGCAGCGGGAGCGTGAGTTGTTATATACAGCAGCGATGATGATGATTTCATGCCTCTCTAGCTCATGTTCTTTGTCTCTCTATTCTCCTTCTCTCTCAGCACACGCAGAAAAAGAAAAAACAAGTTATAACGGGATAAGAGCAGTGTTAGTTTAGTATAATTTATGTATTTGTTTAGTTTTTGTTAATATTTTCTCTTTTGTTATGATATAATTTTTATATTTTCAGTTTTCACTTTAATTTTAAAGTTTTAGTAATTTTGTGTTTTTGTCATTTTTATTACTTTTTTATTACTTATGTATTTTTTTTACATTCATTTTAGTTTATTAACATTTAGTTATTTTAGTACTTAAAGTTAAACTAAATGAAAATTAGAAAAGTTGCCTGAAATAAAATAATTTTAAGTTTTTTTTTCAGTTAACATTATTTATTTATTTTTCAAATAACGATTTTTATGGGTATAGTTAATAATCTATAATAACCCTGGATAAGAGTTATTAGATTAGATGTTGCCTGAAATAAAATAATTTTAAGTTTTTTTTTCAGATAACTATTTATTTATTTTTCAAATAACGATTTTTATGGGTATAGTTAATAATCTATAATAACCCTGGATAAGAGTTATTAGATTAGAGAAGTTGCTTATGGCTATTGTTATTTTAGTATTATTTATATACTATTATATACAGTATTTATAAATAGCTTTTATTTTTATATTTTCATTTTAAATTTAGTTACATTTTTAGAATTCAGATTCATAGCCAAATCTATGATCAGGACATAAAAATATATCTCAGCTGTCATTTAAAGAATTCATGTTCCTTCGGCTGGAGGATGAAAGCTGGTTACCGTGGAAACGATGGAATCCAATTAAAACGGCCACTGGTTTCAAAGAAACCTGGAACTATTTATCATTCGTCTCCTTATAGTTTCAACCTGTCCTTCAGGTGCCAACGAATAATCAAGAGGAAAGTGTTTCTCACAACAGGCCGTTGAGCTCCTTACTGGGATAAAGTGATGTTTATGATGATGTAAGCACTCCAGTTCACTCATTCAAACTCATTACCCAGACAAAGAACACGCTGCTGTTTTACATTTCAAAGAAGCTGATTAGAGAATTAGTCGAATTCTCATTAACCTTGATATGAGAGGCTTCGTTACGGATTCAAGATGCACATCAAAGCCGTGCAGTTATTGTGCTTACCTCATCAAACTGATGAATTAGAGATTTTTCCGTCCTGATTTACAGTTTATCTTAAAGGGAGAGCCGACCCTCAGAAATAACTGTCATCATATGGGTTTAAAATGACATGAGGATGAGTAATTGGCAGTTTATTAATTTATTTGCATTTTTTAACACTATTCCTTTAAGGAATCATTTAATTTTTTTGAAATGTTACCATTTTAATTTTTGCTTAAATTATTCCTTTAGGAATTTTTGTCTCTACTGAGAATGTCCAAAAATATAGTATTTATTATTATTTAGGGCTGGGCAGTATGGCGAATGATGGCATGGCAATTATACAAATTGCTATATTGTGTATATTGCAGTATGCAGTTCCCTTTCAGTCGGTCACTCTCGACGTCACGTCGGATGACCGACGAAATTGGGATCTCGCTTAGAGAGACCAATCCACTTCGAGTGTAAACTAAACGAGCCAATGCACATTGGCATGCGAATATAATATAATATAATTTATATATATAATTTTTTTTCAGGTAATTTTTTATGGATTTGGTTTTATATTTTTAATTGCAAATTTAAAATAAAATAAATAAATTGTATATATCATTATTGTGAAACAAAATTACTTTTATCATGAAATAAGATCATATTGCCTGCCCCTATTATTATTAGATTTAGACATCAACAGAACTTTAATAATAAAAAAAAAATCCTTAATTTGTTTCTTGAAAAGACAGATGAAAACACCCAAGAACTGTTGGGTGTTACACAGCATGCCTTTTAGAAAGACGCAGTCGTTCAGTCGCTGTGTTCAGTTTCATGCTGTTGCGTGTGCTGGAGACGCACATCAAAGGCTGCTTCACTCTTATTGTCACCATAGCAACAGTCAGCAGAGGATGGAGGATCAAACACTGAAGAGAACACTTGAAAACAGCCTTTTGAAGTAGTGAACATATTTTACACAGTGTGGCTCATAAAATGTGAAAAAATGAATATCAAATAGAATGTCTGTTTGCTACATTAACACATTAATTTATACATAATGCACACAAAACTGGCAAGACGTGACTGAAATAAGCCATTTCAATCTGATTGACCGACTCTATGCAACTTCCAGGAGTTGGAGGATGCTTGAGTCCACCTGCAAATGAAATTAATGAACTCTTTTGAGGAAGAACTAATCGCTGGATTTGACAATATTCACCAGGTTAGTGGCATAAAGTCTTTGAAAGATATTCATAGTTTAGTCTGAGGTCCTTAGAAGCAAGTAAACTAGTTATTCACGAGCAAAACTGCATGTTCTGCTTTGGTTCCGAGTCGTCTGTGAAATGATTTGTGCTGATTACTTTTAGATGAGTAAAATTACAAAATCTACACATATTTCTAATAATTTATTTGTATAGACAGACTGAAATGGATATACAATAGTTTGTGATATCAGCTATTTCAGATCAAAACGGCACAAAAAATACTGAACTGTAATTTCCTAGCTAAATAAAATATGTTCTAAAAACGTTTTGCTAAAGTTCCCATTAAGTTATGAAAATGTTATGAAAATGAAAGTCCAGTTGTTTGAATGTTTTAAAAAGGTTTTTTCTTAACATTAGGAAAAACTTTTAAGGAAAGGTTCAATTTGATAATTTTGTAAACATTAATGTTACTTTGTAATATTCTCTGAACATCAGAAACTAGTAAGTAGTAATGTTTAAGAAACAGATTAACGTCCAACCAAACATTTTTGTGCTAATGTTTTGATAACGTTATTATTAAAGACCAGCCTAGCTAACAGGGATTGATCTCAACAACTGTCAATAACTTTTTTGAAAAACAAAACGTTCTTAAAGTAATGTTTATGTAATATTCTGATAACTTTATTAATATTTGATATACATTTGCATAACGTTGAGAAACCATTCCGAGATCAACATTCTCAAAACGTCCTTATGATGTTGTTTACACTTGATGAACGTTGTAAGAAACATTTTTGCAACCTTTAAATAACGTTATAATCACACAATCACAAAAAAACAACATTTGAATGTTCTTAGAATATTAAAAAACTTCAAATAACGTTATATTTTGGGTAGTAGAATGTTATAAGAAATGTTCAAGTAACCTTAACATTCTAATTAATAAGAAAACTGGACATTTAACATTGTTAGAATATTACGAGTAAACATTCTAATAATGTTATATTTTGGGTGAAAATAAAGTTAGTAGGACTTTGTAAGAAACATTTTTGTAACCTTTAAATTAACGTTATAATCACAACAATTTTAGAAACATTTCAAAACAATGTTCCCACAACGTTTATATATCCTACTTTTGTTACCTGAGAGATAACTTTGAACGAATGTTCTATTGACGTTACTGGATGAATGATTTTTCATAACTTTGTTCATAGAATGTTTCCTGTAGGTCTTTGTCAAGTTGGTCAGTTGGTCGGATAGTCAAATTTGGTTTAAGAATATATTATAAGCACCATGATGATGTCAAATGATTACTGAACAACGGTTGCAATCTATTCCTCTTAAATGAACAAGTGCAGTTTAACTAGTTTTTTTCTTTCTTTCATTCATTCTGAATGTCTTTATTTATTCCCAGTACTTCATGAGCATGATCTGAAAGGGATGTTTGAGTCTGGGATGAAATTAAATTCAGTGTCAAAGGCTGCTGTCTGCTTCACAACAACAAATGACATCTTAATGAATGGAAAATTATGTCTCGACTGTCTAAAGTGTGCAAACTGATTAGTACGAAATTGGCATCAGCGCAGCCTCCCCCTGACAGATATAATCACAGCTGCGCATGTAAACTTGGTAATGCAAGTTAACAAATGTGCAGAATTACCTAATTAGGGCCATTTCTATATTAAAATTCCCTTGAGTGCTATTGGCTGTTAATCTATAGGTCAAAACGTTTAATCACAAACAAAGATTAAAGCTGTCTTTTATTTTTCTGACCAGTTTCTGCTTTATAATCATGTTAATGTGTCTTTAAAGGGTATTTCATTCATTGGAAAAGTCTTTCTCATTTCATGTAATTCAATATATGTTTGTAAAGTTCAGTGTATTGAACATTTAGTTCAATCCATTGAAAACATAAGAAATAATGGACTCTCAAAAAATATTTAGGCCTAAATTTATAAAAAATATTTTAAACGTTCCAAGCACTTTGATTATACAGTTTTAACATAAAAAAACTAGTAATAAACCTAATGTGGTGCATATATGAAACACATAAGAGTTCTGTACTCAAAAATCATGCCATAGTTTATTATTAACTATTTGCATCTTTCATTTAAAACATATTTTCAAAATGCATTTATTCAAATTGATTGCAATCTGCATAAATCTGTTATTTGTGAAAACATTTACGAACATATGGCTAGCAATATTATTACATAAAAACGTATATATTTAAAACACATTTAGTTTATTAGTACTATTACAGAAACCTTATCTGTTTCTTTTCCAAGCCTGGCAATTTAAAAGTGACACGCACATAAAAAATAAAACAATAAAAAAAAAAAAAATACATGCATACATAAATAAAATAATAAAATAAAATAAAAATACCATTTAAAATGGCAGTTGAAAAGGACAGTTTAAAATGACAATAAAAAAAAATTATGAGATTTAAACCAATTGATTTATTGATGATAAATATATAAACCTGGTTATTGCTTATTTAAAACACATTCAGTTTATTAGTGCTATTACAGAAATCTGACCAGTTTCATTTATGTATGACTGTCAAATATGCATCACATTAAGTTTATTAATTTATGTTAACGCTATGTAATCCAAATGAATGGAAATTTTAAATGCAATTCGAATACATAAATCTTACATTCAGGCTTAAATATTTAGTTTGAGTGCATCCGTGTAAAAGCCCAACTCCAAACAGAGTCCTCTTGCATTTGTGCAGGAGCAACTCGACTTCCTTCGCAGCATCACTGAAGCATCTGTTCAGAGGCAAGCATGAGGTCAGTAGCGCTGGCCGTGTAGTTGCCATGGCAACCGTTCTACAGCAAAAAGCAGCTGCAGTAGATCGTTTATATTCTCCTGGTGCATCACTACAAATGTGTCTCACTCAATACAGATATTTTCAACCAGACGAGAGCCGTCCTTCTGAATGGACTCGTGCTGAGAAGAAATTCTTTAAAGCCCTGAGATATTGTGATATATTAATGCTCAAGTTTTTATTTGAGATCCAAGAAACCTCAATATTGTATGTGTAAAATATTAATTTGATTTAGAAGCTTTTAGCCTGTTAATTGTGCTTTGAATTTTTGAATCTAAATGAGACAAATCCCAGGCATTATTAAAGATTTCACCCTTCTGTAAAATGTGGATGAGTTTGTTTCTTCATCAGATTTGGAGAAATGTAGCATTGCATCAGTGTCTCAGCAATGGATGCTCTGCAGTGAATGGGTGCCGTCAGAATGAGAGTCCAAACAGCTGATAAAAACATCACAATAATCCACAAGTAATCCACAGCACTCCAGTCCATCAGTTAATGTTTCTGAAGCAAAAAGCTACATGTTTGTAAGAAACAAATCTGTCATTAAGACATTTTTAACTTCAAACCATTGCTTTCTGCTAAAATATGAGTCTATAATCCATAATAACGCTTCCTCCAGTGAAAAAGTGATCTGGTCTGAATCAGGAGAGAAATCTGCACAGATCAAGCACCGTTTACAAGCCAAAACAGCTCTGAACAAATATGTGGCTGGATTTTGATGTGAGAGACAACAGGAGATGGAAGGAAGCGTTATTATGTATTATGGACTGGTATTTTAGCCATGAAGTGACGGTTTAAAGTTAAATTCTTAATGGTGGATTTGTTTCACACAAACATGCATCTTTTCACTTCTCAAGACATTAACTGATGGACTGGAGTGGTGTGGATAACTTGTGGATTATTGTGATGTTTTTATCAGCTGTTTGGACTCTCATTCTGACGGCACCCATTCACTGCAGAGCATCCATTGCTGAGCAAGTGACGTAATGCTACATTTCTCCAAATCTGATGAAGAAACTCACCTACATCTTGGATGACCTGAGGGTGATGACATTTTCAACAAATTTTAATTTTTGCCTGAACTATTCCTTTAAACATTATTGCTGAATTCAGCTTTAAAAAGAGAAGCAAATATTGTGAAGTAACCAAATGAATCATTAAAACTCCTTTTCGAATGTAATAACTCCTCTTCATGAGGTAGCAATGCCTCTATTAGTACATCAACTGAGAGGGAGTATATTTCTTTCTCTTTTACATCACCAGATGAGTTACATCTTCCTCCCGCTGTGCATGCAGTAACATTACTCATCCATGTGACATGCATGTGTTGTGTCTGGTCATCTGAACAGATTGTCTGGGAAACACAACAGTGTCTGTGCCGGCTGCTCTGTTCAGAGATAACAGCGTGTCATGAGAACAATGGCGTCATTGGGCTCCGGATGGGATTGTGCAACTCGATCCGCCTTTAAGTGGAGCGAGACAAAGTCTCAGCATTCGGTTTCCATCACATCAGCGTTCAAATGCTTTTGCATAGCAGGAAGGTAAATGGTGGGTGTGTAAGGTTACACGGTTACCAGGAAATGCACCATCATGATTGCATCAGAAATGGTTGAAGGGTTTGCACTAAGAAAATATTTAGTCTGCATTTTGTGAATACAGTAGCGTACTGTACTGTACTGTATGACCAACCTTACTATTGCACACATGCATTTCAATAGCCTGCACCATTGTAATTTAGTTTTGAACAAGACTGTGAATAAGTGTCTCTGACCTTTTGAACTTTATACACTTCCTTTTTTTTCTGTCCACAAAAAAAAAACCCGCTTTGCAACAAGCTGATAGTGATATATATGTCACAGTGGAGATAGGAGAAAATGAGAGAACAATCTATAAAAACTTTATTTTTTTCTGAAATATTGTTAATCTTCATTGCTCAAAATTTGAAGGAATATTAGCTGTAGGTATACCACTGTTATACTATCATGTTTGACAAAACAGCCAAAGCATTTCAACAAAATCTTTATTTTGTGGAAACACAGTGATCAAAATCAGAGTACAGTAACCACTGCAGCAGGAAAGAAGATTACGACTGATATTTTGGAGGGTTACAGCTGTCAGAAATCAGTAGGAATTGTCGAGGCCCTGCTTTGAGTGACTTCAGCACATCTCTAGTTTCTCACACTGCGCTGCTGTGATCTTGCTCCGCTCTTCTTCCAGTCTCTTCTATAGTTCGGTGACTGTAGTGGGTTTCTTAGCCAGAACTTTGTTGCCAAGGATTTTCCAGAGATTTTCAGTCGGGTTTAGATGAGGACTCTGGGCCGGTCATTTCATTATTTCAGTGTTTTCAGCTTCAAGAACTGCTTTACACGTTTTGCAGTGTGACGGAAACATTGTTTTTCGATTGGGAGATGCTTGCAGGGAAGGAACTGCATGTTGCTGAAGGAGGTTCTGATAAACATTTGCATTCACCTGCCACGTATCTGTATAAGAGACCAAACTCCTGCTGCAGAAAACATCCCCCAAACCATCACACTTCCTCCTCCAGCTTTCACTGACTGACTTACGCACTCGGCTTCAGTTTTTCCCCAGTTTGACGCTGATCATAATGTTTCCCATCAGACCCAAATAAGCTAAACTTGCTCTCAACACTAAAGTGAACTTTGGATCCGTTCTTCTCTCTCCACACAACATGCTCCTCAGCAAAGGTGAGTCTAGCATTTTGATTCTTTCTGCTGATGAGAGGCTTGATCTCTGCAGACTGCGCTTTCAGTCCGACTTCTCTTAAACGAGCAGAGACAGATCCAGACCCTGTTCAGCGCTGAACTGACGAGCAATTCCAGCTGCAGTGCTGAACCGATTCCCCGTTGAGAGTCTCTGCATTATCCTGTCCTCTCTTTCATTTGTCTTATGTGGACGACCAGCCTTTTTGGGGG